ATAAAAACAATATTCTAGATTAGCTGCTAGATTGCTTTTTAACTTTTTACTATAAAAACTTGCTTTCTATTGAAAGAAGATTACGGAATGAGATTAAATATATTTATTTAAGAACTAATTCATCAACCAAAACTTTTTCTAATACCATGCACCATGCATTCTTCAAAAGAAATTTCTGTTCAGAAATATATTTACTTACAACTCTCTCAATAGTTTTTCCATCAGCATTTAATTCTATTAATTCTTATTAACACTACATTAATGAGCATTTCTAACGAATAAAAAAAAATGTGAATGACATTTTATTCGCAGTACGACGGCAGAAAATTCGTTTAACGCGCATCTTCCAAAATAAACGATCTCATCTCCTGCCGTTCGAACTAAATCTGAATTATTGTCTGCATTCAATATCTCAAAGATGGGAAAAAATCACGCTTTGAGTCGAAAAAATCCTATTTTATATGTAATTGGATTTCGAGTATAAAGAAATCTTTATATGGATTCATCGGTTTTCAGATTACGTGTCGGAAACGTTGCGAACGAATGCTGAAAAAATATCATTGATTGGATGAATTTATCCTTAAAGAATATAAACCGTAAGCGCATGATGATAAAGAATTGGAATTTTTATTTGTACTTTCTTTTTTTTTTTTTTATTCAGAAAGGTTTAAATGTATAAAAAGTTTTTATAATGACCTTAAATCTAACCTCGAAGATTACTTTTGCTTCAATAAATCATAATTTAATTATGATTTGTGTGAAAAGTTTCAAAACGTATCGCGAACTTTAAAACATTTATTATTGTGATAACTGTTTCTGTAAATTGGATTTAGTAGATTTGAACTTTAATTACACAAGCCAAAAAAAGTAATTTTTAAAACCTTTCTCTTTATAATATTATATAATGCACATATATATTTAAATATATTGGTTTCTCATACCAACTATTCAATCCCTTTTCTTCTATAACTTAATCGTTTTTGCAAACTCCGTTAATCTTTTTTCTTCTGTAACCCTAAAATCCAGTACAGTAAAATAAAAGATGTATATGAATGGTATATTATAAATAAAAATTAAATTAATAATATAAGGTTTACATTTAATGGTCATATTTAAGTTCACAATGTAAAAAAAAAACATAAAAAACAAATATGAAATATATAAAATAAAAAATACTTAAAATTCAATTGGTTTCTTTTTACATTAGCATTATTGTTATAAAAGTTGGGAAGGTTTTGTAATTCTTCGTATTTTTATTTCTTTGTACAGCAGATTCCCATGATCTTGAAAGTGGGCCTCTTCTTGAAGCCTTGTATAGGCCGACTCGTTACAGCCTTAACTCTCTAAATATAATAAATTCCATTAGTCAAATATAATAAAAAATATTCTAGATTAGCTATAAAATTCTAGATTAGCTATTAAATTCTAGATTAGCTATTACATTCTAGATTAAAATATTCTAGATTTTTTTAAACCTTTTACTATAAAAACTTGTGTTGTATTGAACGCAGATAAAAGAATCAGATTAAAAATATTTATCTAAGAATTATTTTATCAACGATATCTTTTTCTAATACCATGCACCACGCATTGTTTAAATGAAACTTCTGTTCAGAATTAAATTTACTTCCGATTTTCTTATTTTCTTTTCCTACATCAGCAATTAATTCTGTTAATTAACACTACATTAATAAGCATTTCCAACCAATAAAAAAAATTAATCCCACTTTATTCGCAGTAAGACGGCAGAAAATTCGTTTAACGCGCATCTTCCAAAATAAACGACCTCATCTCCTGCCGTTCGAACTAAATCTGAATTATTGTCTGCATTCAATATCTCAAAGATGGAGAAAAAATCACGCTTTGACTCGAAAAAATCTTATTTTATTTGTAATTGGATTTCGAGTATAAAGAAATCTTTATATGGATTCATCGGTTTTCAGATTACGTGCCGGAAACGTTGCGAACGAATAGTGAAAAAAATCATTGATTGGATGAATTTATCCTTAAAGAATATAAACCGTAAGCGCATGATGATAAAGAATCGAAGTTTTATTTTTATTTTTTTCCTTTTTTTTCAGAAGGGCTTAAATATATAAAAAGTTTTTGTAATGTGCTTAAATCTAACCTCGAAGATTACTTTTGCTTCAATAAATCATAATTTAATTATGATTTATGTGAAAAGTTTCAAAAATTATTGCAAACTTTAAAATATTTATTGTTACGAAAAGTGTTTCTATAAATTTGACTTAATAGATATTAACTTTAATTACACAAGCCGAAAAAGTAATTTTTAAAATATTTCTCTTAATTTAAGATTATTTTATGCACATATATATTTGTATAAATTGGTTTCTCATTATAAATATTAATTCCTTTCCTTCTTCTGTAATGCAAAAATCCAGTGCAGTAAAGTACATGAATAGTCGGTTAAAAATAAAAAAAAAATCATAATTAATTAAATTAATAATAAAAGGTGCACATTTAATGGTCATATTTAAGTTCAGAATGTTACAAAAACATAAAAGGTAAATACGAAATATATAAAAATAAAAAATACTTAAAATTCTATTGTTTTCTTTTTTTTCATTAGTATTATTATTATAAAAGTTGGGAAGGTATTGCACTTCTACGTGGTAATCCAAAGATTTGTATTTTATTATTATTTTTTATATTTTATCATTCTTTTGTATTTTATTACTATTTTTGTATTTTATTATTCTTTTCTATTTTATTATTATTTTTGTTATTCTTTATTTATTCCTGTATTTTGTTTTATTATCTTTGTTTTCTTTTTTTGTAAAGTTTTGTATTTAATTATTCCTGTATTTTGTTTTATTCTCTTTTTTCTCTGTATTTTGTAAAGTTTTGCATTTTATTATTAAAAGTTCTGGTGTAGCTCTATTTTTTATTCGTGTGTTATCCCGAAGTAGCCAAAGTACACTTTCCGCAATATCGTTTTGTTCATTAGGTACTTCTTGCAAATAGATTTCTTACAAAAATAACAAAAGTTATCAAGGCTGTTATAAAAGACGCCACTCGCCATTTCTTGAGCATAAAACAAATGAAAAACTACGACGAGGCAAAAATGATGCAGAAAATCATAAAAAAATTCTAAAATATAGTAACGCCATCTTGAAAATATCTGCGTCCTTGATCGGGTTATGTATCTATCAATGCTGAAAATGGTAACATTAATAATAACGTTAATGTTGATAAGAATATTAGATTTAAGAAAGTTGTATGGAACTTTGATGTTTCCAATAAAGTTTTAGATATATAGAACAAAAATGATTATTCTATATGATGAAATTGTTTAATGGTCATTTTTAGGATGAGAATGTAAAAAAAAAAAAAAAAATAAACATAAACATAAAAAACCCCCGAAATTATTAAACAATTTTACTTTTTTTTTTTTCGCCATGAATACTATTAATTTCCATCACTTACCATTAATGCCTACACATATAAATTATGTAGAATAAATAACAGATATTAACTGCCAATTCATAGAATATTTCATAACATTAATATGTGCTTTGAATAAAATTTGATTCCAAATTCTAAACAACCTCGACTTGTGGCCCAGTGGTAACCTGTGTTTGCGTGTTAGAAATCACAACAAATCCTAGTCCAAACTATAAATTCAACCCTATAAATCCTACAAGTCTCAAATCATTATACCAATCACTGCTTGCAGAAAGGAGGAGACCCGATGGCGATTATGATAACATGTGTAAATCGTCTCACATCGATAGATATGTTACCTTATTAGAAGTTTTATTATTTTGCCATACGACATCAAAATTAATTGTAATAAAATGCCTTAGATATCCCTTTAGACATCTTCTGAGAAGACAATGCCCTCCATCAACCTTCCGTGGTTTATTCGAGGCTTGCATAAGAAGCAAACAAGAACCAACGATATTCAACAAAAAAAAAAAAAAAATCAGCATTTTAAATGTTGCTTTTTATTAAATTCTTATTTCCCAAGTGAAATATACATAACCAACAATTTATAACTCTCTTAAAAAGACATATCAGAACATGCTTTATTCATAGTTTATCCAAAATATATGTTTTATGAATACAAAATTCATACAAAATTCAAATTTTGCACTTTCACTTTTCATGTAACGACACATTTATTATCGATATATAAATAGAAACAATTTAAAAATATTATTACTATAAATTTAGGTAGGTAATTATTTTGGTTAAATTCATTTCTTGTTGCTCTTAATACGTATAAATAGTTGGATGCATAGTGATAAGTCTGCTTATGCAAATTTAATCGAATTCATCAAAATATTATTTTTTAACATTTTGAAAACACTATAAAAATATTTGCTCCAAATAAGTTTTAAAATGATGCATATAAAAGTTAAGCATATAACTAAAACAAAAACAGTGTGTTCGTGTATTTGAAAAATAATTGGAGTTTTGCTTCCAATGTAAAATATAATCCAAACAATTTCGTCTATTTCCATGTCTCTCTTTGCTTACATTCTTTGATATTTAACAATCGTATTTCAAATGCAATGCGTAGATGATTTAGTTTACTGAAATATTTTCGTATTGAGATAAAGGAACAATTTTCAGCTTTATGTAAATAGTGAAAACAGATATGTATTTCTTGTCAATCCATTATACTACAAAAATATAAATTGTCTTTTTAATATGCCATACAAATCCTAAATTATTGTAATATTTTTACAATGTAAATTTGTTTTAAATGTTAAGGACATTTTGTATTTGTTTTCTCTTTAATGCAATTCATAGTTTAAATCAAACTTTTTAGAGTAATTCATATGTCTTGTACCAATAAAAGGAATTATATCAAAGATTGTGCAATATATTTAGAAAGTATTTCTAATAACCCCAAGCATTAAAATTGCTTTGAAATACTTTACTATAATCTATGAAATCTAGATCAACATTAAAATAATTAGAATTACAAACTTAAAAATTGCAATTTACTAAGAAAAAATAATTACAGAAGTCTACGGCAGTATTCGAATCTGTAATCTTCTGATTCGAAGTCAGACGTCTTATCCGTTAGGTCACGTGGACATAGAGCAACCTTTAACATGATATAATTTTAAAATTTACCTTTAATCAAGCCTTATAAACTCATGAAGAAAAAATTAATAAAAATTAATTTATTAAAGAATGCATAATATAGGTCTGTTGATCATTAAATGATTCTACTAAACAAAATATAAATAGGTACCAAGTAAAAAAAAATCAGTTGATCGTGAGAAAATTTCACTGTACAATTCGCACTCTTAAACTTAGTAGACTAAAAAAATATCACAAACTAATGAAATACAACTCTATGGCTCCTGATGCCCAAAAGCCAGTTTTTTTTCTTATATGTTTAAATTGTTTTTAGCATTATAAAATATAAATTGATTTTAGTGTTATACAATAGATTAATTCATTATGAATCACATTGTAGTTTATTTGCTTTTCTGTTTCTTATGGTATTGATTTCTCCTGCTTCAAACATTCTTATTGCCTTTTATACCACGGGCACCCATTACCAGTAAAATGACGACGGATTTTTTTTTTTCCAAAACAAAATTTTAAAATAAAATCAAAGATCATTTCGTTATATTTAAAAAGGAGAAATTGAGGCCTTGAGAATTTGAGTGATGTGCTCTTACGGAGAAAGTATGATGGGTTTGGAAACTCTATAAACGATGCCGAACCAAAAGCTGCTGAGTCTATGCCGGGTATGATCACGATAAATCCGTAAGTTGAAAAGACTTGGTTCCATTGGGGTAAAAAAAAAGGGGATAATGTAGGGCAATCAAAATGGCATGCCAAAGGTTATTCATTCAAATGTGTAGTAACACAATATTAAGGCAATACAGCTGACTAGCGGTGGTGCATTATAATTAATGCTTGATCTGTTAGATCTCTACTGTTTTAAAGGCAAATGACTTAAATTAAAATTACCAACATTCAACATAATTAAAAAAAATAATTAAAATATTTAACAAAATATAACAGTAGAAATTCCTGACTTAATATCTAAGATATTGAATAACAACAAAATACATTATCAAGGAAAGTTTAAATGTATTTTATCTTGCATGAAAATCCTATGTGACATAAAATAATCTATTATATATATTATTAAGTACAAATACAATTCATACTATTTAAATTTATTTATTTACTTATTCAAAGTAAATATTTTAAGATTTAATTTATAATTTATAAAACTTAAATAAGATATTTAAAAATTATATTAGATATGTAATTAAACTTATTATTAATTAATTATTAAGACAATACCAACTTAAATTTATTTAAAATAAATTAGTATTAAGTGAAAATAAAGATACTTTTATTATTATGCGAGCTAATGAATTCATAGACTTTTAGTCAAGTTCTCGTGTACTTTATTCCCTTTAGTATTTTCATTGCTTATTTTTTACAAAAATCATATTTCATTATTTAATTCAAAATCTTTTTTAACAAATAACATGTAGGGCCAGAATAACCTATTAGATGACAATTTAGGTTTCCAAACTAAACGAACTTGTTTCGAAACATGGTGAGTGATCTAAAACCAAAAGCTTCTGCATCTATACTCAAAACAGGTTCAATTAAATTCAATACTAATGCCTAAAATTCCATCTGTGACTTTAGAAGATGAATAGGAATGTGCAGACACCCAGATTCCATGTTTGGAGAGATGTCTGTTCCATCTGCGTTTACTGTTTATGGATGAAGTGAAGGGTGCATCCTAATTAACTCTGAATTTTCTGTATCTCAACCAGAGCAGTACTATACGATTCCTGATAAAATAGGCAATTCCAATGCCAAATGCCTTTAATTCAAGGAATTTCAATGTAATTTCAAGCAAAAAATTACATTACCCTTTCGGCATTGAAATTTTTGAAAAAGTTGCCATTTGAAAAAGGTGGCATTGAAATATTGGCATTAAAATATTTGACATTGGAATGAAATATTTGAAATATTGGCATTAACATATTTGACATTGGATTGAAATATTGACATTAAAATATTTGACATTGTAATGAAATATTGGTATTAAAATATTGGCATTGTAATGAAATATTGGCATTGATATGGATTAAAATATTTGACATTGGATTGAAATATATGGATTAAAATATTTGACATTGGGATGAATTATCTGAAATATAAGCATTCAAATATTTGAAAAAGTTTATTTTTCTTGAGTTATGGCTCATTCTGATAGGCAAAAGCTAACAAATTTTTTCAGCTCTGCAAAACAAAGTATATTGAATTTAAAAGATGAATTTAATATATTATCTGATTAGTCATAAACAGTAAAAAAAATAAGAGACATTTTTCAGCAAATTACAAGGAAAACTGGATGTCTGAATTTTATATATGTAATCTTTAGCTGTAACGTTTGAAATGATTCTGGAAAACATATTGGCAAAATATGTGTACATTAAAACTTCGCTACTTTGTGTGATTAAGATATAAGATATAAAATATATATATATATATATATATATATATATATATATATATATCCTGAAATGTAATTACAGCACATTAATTTGTTTAATGGAAGTGGGATGAATACAACTTTAACTTGTAATTAAAAATGATGTAAATGGCATTACCTAAATTCATTTACTTTAGTTAATCTCATTAACTTATCAAATTCTATAAAATCCAATAATACTAAACTAGACGTCTTGACAACATGTATAGCCATATAGCAAACAGGATTTTCTAGTAAAATAATCGATAGTAATTTAGTGCTCCAAGAAATTCATATGTGATAAAGTATAGTAAAAGTAAATCATGTAAATACAAATATATAATTTTTGTAATATATTCAAATGTTTTTGGCATGTTTAAACACGGTTTATGTTTTAATAAGGGGAATATAAGACATTTCATATCAGGATACGTGTTGAAGTACTTAGAAATGTTTTATTCAATAAATATGGAAAAGTAAAATAACAATTTTATTTTTTCTACCTGAAAGAAATCACTATGAGTATAAAAAGTGTTCATGACAGTATTTATTAATGTTTTCAGTAGTTTTATAATGTAATAAAAGATGCAAACCAGGTATTAAAAACAATTAACGAATAAATTTACTTTATCATATAACTGCCTGTCAAATAATTTAAAAACTACAAAATGTTACATTTCAACAATGTTTCAGTCATAATGCACCATAGCCTATTGAGAATATGTTGGACAATAAATTTCTCCTAAAAATAGAGTAAACCAATAAATATCAAAAATAAAAGTGGATATAGCGAAGTTATATTTAAAATTTATTCTATCTATTTTTAGAAGAATTATTTAATTTGTATCTTAGAGTACAAAAATATTTTGCTTAATCTTTCCAAATTGATACAAGTTTAAAAACAATTTTAGTGATTTCTTTTCTCTTATACTCACCACAATGTTAAGCTATTCGAAACAATAGCTGCTACTGAGGCCCAATATGACATCATCACAGAGAAAGAGCTGACATATCTCAATTTTTTTGTGCTCTTAATGTAAACATACGATATATTTTTAATCATCCAGGAAAATGCATAAAAAGTCTTCAACATTTTTTTTTGAAATTTATAAGATAATCAACAAGAGAAGAAATGAAGAGCAAAATTCCTCTATACTTCAGCTATTTATACAAAAATAATATTGAAGAAATTGCAGTCAATTCCTACGTTTTTCTCACTGTATTGCAGAAAGTCCTTTATAAATAATTTTCATTCCTTATTTTAAGTTTATCTGGCGCCATCTATTGGTAGATATATGCAACTTGAATCTAAAAAAACTAAAATTAATTAATTAAATTTAATTACTGAATTAATATTTGAAAAAACTACATTAACATCAAGTGTCATCCACTGCAAGTTCGAAAAAAATGTATTTGAACTTGAATGGATGAATAAAAAGTATTTTATTAACGATTGAAAATTTGAACAAGATATATATAGTGAGAGCGTCAGCTAATAGAAGAATTGAAAAACAACGCAAATTTATACAAAATAAATGTAATTTTTACCATATATCAAAAATCGAATGGCTAATCAACAGATTATTATTTTTTTTTAAGTTTACAAGTAGAAATGTAAAATATTTTCAGATATTTCATTAAATATATATATATATATATTTATTTTGAAAAAATAAGACATTATATCGATTAAATTGGATTATTGTTCACACAAAAAGCTATCTCTTGCAAAATTTATTATAAAAGAAGTACTAACGTTTATTTATAAAGAAATTTTTTTAATGATGACATGGAAAAAAAAGACGCCATATTTTGCACATAGAAAAATGACGCCAATAATTCAACAAAATTTATTCAGAAAATCTCAGCATCAATTCATGAACAATATAATAAAATGCTGCTATCCTTTCAAAAGACTAGCTAGCTTTTTTTTTTTCTTCTTCTTAAGAAACTGTCATTTTTTGTCGTGTTTTTGTCTGTTTGTTTCTTTTTTTTTTTTACACATTGTTTTTTTTTTTGTCAAATTAAGGCTTTTCGAAAGCTATTAAAAGATCCCTTCAAACACCCTTTGGAAAAAAATGTTGAAAAAGAACTTCATCGTATCTTACTTTACTTCTGAGATTGACAGTTTTGAAGTTATCAAGATTCAATCATTCTGACAGGTATATCTATTGAATTTATCAGTTTTTCCACTCCAATACATTAACTCTATGGCTTTGAGATTAATGAATTGAATATGTTATTTTCTTCATACAAAAAGTTTTCCAATCTTATGGAAATTGATGCAAAATATGCTTTTTTTATCTTTCGAATTCCATGCAATATGACCTGAGACCAGACATTAAATGGTAGATTAAAATATTAAAATGGCAGATATGTGACAGGTGTTGCTTTTCCTCTGATGAAACAAAATGTCTCATTAGAGGAACACAATTCACAATTAATGTCTCAAATACCACCAAGTTTTAAAGCCTTAAGGATAACGTAATATTTAAGATGTTGGATTGAGTTCAGTGATTACTTTACAAAAATTACATTTTGTTCAATTTCAATCAGTGACAATGTATATATCCTG